AATGGTGTCAAAATTAGATAAAAGTTCGTAGTCTGAAAAAGGAAAGAAATCGAATACAAAAGCATACGATGTACTCAAACTCATAACACAGCTATTTATCAACAAATCCATAAATCAACATAAGTTCACTTGAAATCTAAAATTCCATGGCTTAAAATTTAGCAAAAAATACATGCAGTTTATGGAGTTATAGTGCAGAAAGAAGGAAGAAAACATTACCTGCAACACAAGTAGTGAGCAAAAAAGGTGGACATGAAAACCAAAACCCATATTTTCTTTTGTTAAATCTGTTCTATCTTCAACAATCTTCAGCTTCTGCAATAACACCAAAATAATGACTTAAAAAGCAAGTTAAACTATTGAGTATTAGGTAGTGATATGCACAGAACTAAAAACAAGGAATTTCCATTAAATATAACCTCATGCTGATGCCTTGTACAGTGATTTTCCAGATAATATTCAAATGCCCTAATGGAGTTTGATTCTATTTTGATGGTTGGAAAATGGTATTCAATACTTTGTGTCCCTATCTGCTGAGTAGGAGTTCATATACAAATCTTGATTGGATATTATTTAAATTATTTGTCAATGGGTTAATACTGGTCAACCCTGCCTGCGACCATATGGCTCGGATCGAAGAAGTATCTCAAGAGTTAATCAGGCTCGTTACAATTTACTTCTCTTTATAATATTCACATCAGGAGATGTAATCAGTGTAGTTAAAAGTTAAAACCTCTAATTTTCTTTGGAATAACCTTATATCTGTTTTTTTTATATTAAAAGTAACTCTCTTCGCGTTATTGCAAGAACTAAACTCTACATATTTAAACCTAATTAAAAACCAGTAAAATAAAATTATGATTAATTTGTGCATGGCTAGATCCACTTAAAAGTTAAAACTAACATTTCTTAATTTTCATTATGATTAAATTGTCTCTTCCCACTAGTAGGTCCAGTGGCAATCAACAATAGTGACATTGTGGAAATTAACATGCATCAAAAATATGTTGCACTTATTGTCTTTCTTTTGTAAAGCAATTGGACTCTGTGATACACTGTATGTATATGTGTGTGTCTTTATCATTAAAAAAAACGAAAAAAAAATAATAAAAAAAATAGACAGCTTCTAGATGTCGTATTGGGAGGTCAACTTTGGGGGGCCAGAACATGATGTTCCTTTAATTCGTATTATTTATGTATTTTAATTAGCATGGACAATCAACTTGCATTAAAATTCTATAGTAATGGCACTATTTAAAAATTTATTGTACACAATCAAACAGTGTAAAAACATGGGTTATCGAATAAAACAAATGCGCTTGTCCTAACCCATTACCACATCATTAAACAAAGTCATTTGTGTCCACAGTAATTGCCAAGGTTAGTGGTGACATCCCATTAAGGACAACTTTGAAATTAAGGCCTGTCAATCCCGATAAAGACGTAATTTAAATAAATAATTTTATTTATTTTTTATTATTTTAAAATATAGACGATATATTTTAATAAAATTCTTAGTATCAGGACAAATAAAAGTTTTACAGTCACTCATTTATAGAATTTAGGTAAATATCATAAGGGGTTTCTAATCTTTCAAAATAATCACAATCTTTTAAATCTAAGTCATCCACGTCTCGAACTAACAAGAAAAAAAATGTTTATTTGAACGTCAAATATCTTTCACATCCTTCACGTGATGTCAAAGATGGATTCAGGCAAGGATATGTTTCAAAAACGCTAAGAATTTTGCCCTATTCAAAATTTAAATGGAAGTTGAAGTGACCGTGTTTTAATGATTTTAATCTTTCAACCCAACATCGACATGTGATTTAACGTTTAGATAAATGTTTTTTGGCAGAGAACATGGGTATTATCAAGTTCTAGAAATTAGGAACAAGAGTGTAACAAATGGTTGATTGAATTTACTCTAAAAATTATGTACTTATTTAACTTTTGATTAAAAAATAAAATAAAATCTAACCAAAATCTAGAAGACTCGAATATTTAAATCAGCTGACAAATTCTGCAATGTCAAAATGCAATCCAACATAAAAATGTTAAGATTTTGGATAAACTTGCAGAAGATGAGTAGACATTTCACATTCATATAGATGATGTTTCAAAAGCTGCTTCAACTATGAAGATTAAAGTAATGACTTTTTAGTTTTTGATTAAAGATACGTGTAGCATGTGTATGGTTTGTGCTGTTCAGAAGTTGACAATTTGAAGATTCCTATAGCTGAATCATGAGTGGGGATACATGGATGAGTTCTACTTTTTTAAGAATTGCTTTGCACCAAACTATGCTTTAATATCATAATCAAATCACTCGATTGTACAACTTCAAGAATTAATAATGAACTTATATGGGTTTATGTTATATCAATCAATCTGACAAAAGATAGTGCGTACCGAACATTAATACGGATTTATCTTAACTCAATCGATCCATAACTAATGCTCATACCAAGAAAGATGAAAGGCTTTTATTGCTAAAATTGTGACTATTTACCAATAGCATTTCTTCAAGTGCGCCTCAGACTGAAGTCAAGAATCCAATATGGATGGTGCATATAATCTTCAACAAGGTAATCAATAATATTCTTCTTATTGGTCAACACCTCAAATCTGGTGGTCCTCAATTCATTTTACAAAGCATAGGAGCTTCTCCATTTCTTTTTTAGCAAACGACTTGGTCGATGATAAACTTTAAATAAATTTATTTATTTTTATTTAATAATTTAAATTTTAGATAAAGATAATTCAAAATAGTATCATATAAAAAATAATTATCTTAATTATTTAAGCTTTCAATAAAAGTTCTAATTTGCAAGTGAAATTACAAATATGGGGAATAAATACCTACCGAAGATTTCTAGGCAAAGAAACTGAGTCATTCGAGCGTGCATCTATCTATAATTATTATATTAAAATATCTCATCAAGGGAAAATCATTTTTTAGAAGATTTTAACCCCCGTATAATTCAACTATTTCAATAATACTTTACTTTTTTATATGTAATAAATATTATATAATTATTATCATTTATGTTATTAATTCACAATTAATTAACATTCACATTAACCTAGATTCAATGAATTTTCAATTTTGAATTACATGAATCTAGAATTATTATAGATGAATTTATTCATATTCATGTATCTATAAATTTTAATGGATGTTTAAATTTATATATTAACAATTAATTTTTATGTATCAAATGTAATATGAAAAAATTGTTCATTTATAGTATATCATCATTACAAAAAAAATTGAATTATAGAAATTGTGTTTTAAGAGTACAATTTTCTTCTCTTAAATTTCTATGTTAAATTTTATTTTCTTTAATTCGTTCGAAACTCATCAAATCATCCAATAAATTGGTACTAAATATTACTTTTACATCACTCACGTTCAACTTTTACTAATAAAAACTAAAATCTATGAGCATTTGGTATTACGGTATCCATCTTTAATTTCAATTTGCAACTTTCCAGTGCTAAAGGTCTCCCTCTCGACGTAAGGAGTGCACCTACCCCGGATCCTAACAAAACTTTTCTACACAACCACGTGAATAAAGTGTTGAAAGATACGACTTCAATATATAAATTTGTTTCGTCTCAATAGTTTAAACTTTTCGGCTTGGTGCGATATTTAAGTATTAAATTGGTAGATTTGTCCTCTACATAAAATATTGTATGTGATAATGTGATGGGTCAACACCATCTAGATGCCTTGCACGTTAATAAAACGACATCACTTCTGGTGCCCACGGATTGACTATTTATTTGCCAGGCTTTACAGGTGGCTAATCACTGTCTTCAGTTTAGTTAGTTATACAGGCCCGTTTACGAGTGATTTTAGAAATTGATTTTGTGATCGTTAGAAGAAAAGTGAGACTCATCTATGAGAAAATAAATCAAACTTTACGACTGAAATAATTAAATAACGATCAAAAAGTCAATTTTTTTGAATGAAAAAAACTCTCAAACAAGCTCATAAACTACATGATTTAGAAAATGGAGGTCCCTTATTGGCCCATCATTTAATTATTTCTACAATTATGAATTAGGCCAAAGCGATTTGTACAGAGAAGAGGTTCCTCCAGAACAAACACATGAGGTCGGCCTCACATGGGACTCATCGATGATAAAAAATTGCAAAAAAAGTCAACCTTCATCTTTGTGTGTATTCTGTAAGACCTTTGTGAAGCCTTCTTTTGTACGCATTGTGAAATCCTACGAATTATTTTAGCTATAATTTAATTTACACACTTCAAAATGTTGCAAAGTATCGGGCTCAGCCTTGGTGTTATTGTACAAGCTCAAATGGTAAGGTTTACTTTTCATGCCCAAGCACCAAAAACTCAATTAGTAAAGTTAAAGGGCATGAAAATTTTTTTTTTGAAGAAAGCACAATCGTGTGTATAGATAGTCTAACACTATTGACGGATTAGATTCATCCACGCGTAGTGTTGCCACCCCATCAGCATAATTTGCTTGATCCCTATGTCAATTTTGGATAGCTAGTGAAATCGCTTTAACAAATTACAGTCTCGTTTTATATATTAAAAAAATATATATAGCTATAAACAAATTCTTTTAAATGACATAATTTATGCGTACTTGATTGTACTATTAATGACATCATCCATATGCATGAAATAAATTACAGCAATTAAAGGACTCACCAGCATTAATCTTACGAGCATCTTTGAGCCTCGTTTTTAGTAAAAAATGCATTTTGGAATAATAGACTGTTGTAGAATGTGTGGATAAAAAATAAGAAAAAATTTTAGGTTTGTGTACAATATTATTTTATTGAATAATGTGTGGTTGAAAGGAAGAGACAGGATAAAGAATAATGGGGATCAAACATGTATGTACATTGATCAAATAGTCAATATCTGATGGTTGTTCAAAGCACCAAAAAAGGGCTACCGACCATTAGATTATATCACATTGTAGAAAATAATAATTTTCTTATAAATCCAAGTGGCCTATAAATACTAAGTCAGAGGTTGTACAGTTTGCAGAATACAAAACAATTTTGTGTTCAATGAGTTTGAAGATGAACGTGAGAACTCCCTCTACCATCTTCCTGCTCTCCCTTCTCTTGGTAATGTCTCTCATATAATTACTTTTGTCTTTCACTGAAGTTTAAGATTATTTTCATAATAATTTGATCGTTTTAGAGTTATTTGTAGCTCTATAAATAGGGTCGTACTCGTCCCGTTTGCCTGATGTTGTTTCCTTTTTGTTGAACCAGCTTTCAAGTGTTATTGATGCAAGAAAAGATCCTGGAGACTACTGGAAGAGTATGATGAATGATGAGCCCATGCCTAAAGCAATAACAGACCTTATCCATCATGACACTGCAGAAGAATCAAATCATTTTCTGAGAAATTTTGACACCAAACCTAATGTTATAATATATCACAGTCATGTTCAGTCTGCAAAAATGAAGCCTTCTCCTCTAGAGGGTTAGTCTACGTCGACCGGCCGATCAAAGGAGGACATGTATCTTCTGCAGAAGATGTTGAGGATACCTTGAATTTGAACTTATGATTTGTAGGGATTGTAGTAGGTTGAATTGATGATGATGTTGTAGTAGTTTATGTTGTCTTTTAATTGTTGTCTTTGTAAGAAATCAGATCTTTCTTTTAAAACTTGTGCTTTTCAAATTATTTTGATGACTTTGTAGATGCACATTCAACATCCATACATCTTTGAAGAAGAATCAAGTCAAAAATGCAGGCAATGAGCAAAATAAAAGAAAACAACAACTATAAACTTAAGAGCTTGTTTGGCATAACTTTGAGAAGTCAAAATGAGTCCTGAGATTTAAAAGCTATTTTTGGACAAGTTTGACTAATTTTATTGAAGTGCTTCTTGTAGTTATAAGAGTTTTTTGAAGAAATTGATCCAACGTGTCTTTTTTCTTAAAATTCTTTTTAAAATTAGTTTTCAAACAAAATTAAAGTAGCTTCTTCAAGGAAACTCTTCTAGAGGGAGCAAAAGTCATGTCAAATGGGTTCTTTTGGACAAACCTAGCTCATGTTTGGTGTAGATAAAAAAAATGATTAGATTTTTATACAATATGATAAAATGTGTGCTTGAAAATCTCATAAAATGTGCAATTGAAATGAGTTTAGAAAGTGGGAGTCAAACAAGAGCTTAAAGTCGGCTATGTAAATCTTTTTTCAACATTCTGTATAATTCACAGTAAAACTATATCTTAACGACTACAACACACTATCTCAAATTTTTGTCTTTCATCTCTCCTTTGTGATTTTGAATAGGAATTTCTTTAAGTGGTGACAAAAATAACATGTACCGATAATCTAAGTCGTCATTTCCTTAAATTTGCTCCACCTCATCGTGTTTGTCATTTATTATCGTCTCTTATTCTAGTACGGAGGTCGAGAAGCTTACAAAAGAAAAATAAGATTAAAAAATGTAGATTTTAGTGAGTTGTAGAGGGTTAGTACAACTAAAAATCTAAAATACACATTAATCAAAAGTCATGTGTGCAAGATAAAACTTCAAACCTCTTATAAGAATGCCTCTGTCCATTTCAGCTTTCAAAGCTTTGATGAATATTCATTTGGTTGGACAAAAATTGAAGTCGAAATTAATAATTAATCTTAATCATACGAGATCAACAATTTTTTTCAACTTTTAAATCACGCATTTATCAGTTTTTTACCAAAATCACAAAAACAAGATTTCAAGAGTAAATGATTGAAAATTTTGCCAACGAAAAAGACAAGAATCTTTGCTCACCAATTGATGCAACTACTGCTAAAAAGTCTTTGTTTTTTAAGGCACCGCTAAGAAGTCTTATCATTCAAGAATATTCACAAACAGTTGGGAAGACACTTTAATGTGAAATTTGATTTACAACGTGGGCACATACGTTGAAGTCTAGAAAATTTTCAATATTCTCGGAATATAGAACTCGGTACTTCATTTTATTCATCAACATATATATTATTGTACATGTTTGGGTTTTAATCATATTATATGTCTTAATTATTTAATATAAGTGTAATTAAATAGTGACAAATAATACTGAGTACTTCATGCTTTGAGAATACTGATTATTATTTTTTTGTCAAAGTCTCTTTTAAACAATAACTTGTTAGTGCGAATGAGTCTCTCTTCTGTAGAATACTTCAAGTAGGTATAAAGAACTATATTTGACCAATTTACCTTAGTTTCGAATTAGTAAAAGTTTTGTTTTCTTGAGTTAAATATTACATAACTTCCTTCTAATGGTTTCTTAATAAAACCCAATGTATAAACAAATTAATGATGTTGGGTTTTCCCTCTACTTTGAGGGACTTGCCCATTTAGTAGCCCACTAAAGCCCAAACCAATTAAACCATTTGATGGCCCCAAAAACAATACAAAAACTGATCCATACATACATACAGCAGAAAAAAAAACGGGATTCATTTTTTTCTAAAAATAGGCAGCCTCAGTTTTCTTGAAAAACAGAGAGTTACGAGAGAGAGACTTCGGCATTTCAGCTTCTTCTTGACCGGAGCTGATCATTCAGATTTCTCTCCATTTCTCTGGGCTCCACACACTAGTTTAGTGAGATTTTCTCCTTATTGTGTGTGTATCTATTTTAGTATGATGTTGTTGTTGATATCCAAGAATATATATGTGTTCTTGATGTATTGGTAGCATCTAGAGTTTGCTTTGGAGAATGTTAACTGTGTATCCCATTATTTTATAGTGGAAGGCTTTTACTGGACTAGGTCCTTAGATTTTTCCCTCACGCCGAAAGGTTTCCCTAGTGAACAAATCTTTGTGTTCTTATCGTTCAATTTCTGCCAGTGTGTGTGAATTAATATTTGGAGCCGAGGTTATTATTTTACTGCCATTTTTATTCTGCAGAATGGGGATTGTGAAATTTTTTTCGCTGCTTGGTTTATCATTATTGGTTCAATTCCCAACAAAGTGGTATCAGAGCGAAGAGAATTAAAATGAAGGATTTGGTTAGTGGCATGGCTAAACTCACATCTTCTAATTATTCCATTTGGAAGACTACGATGGTGGATATTTTGTATTGCAAAGATTTGTTCGATTCCATTGAATTGAATGGCAAGCAACCGATTCTAAGACTAATGAGGATTGGAAGAAAGTGAATAGAAAGGCTGTTGGACAAATTAGGCAGTGGCTTGATTCGAGTGTCTTCCATCATATAGCCAAAGAAGTAGATGCATACAGTCTTTGACAAAAATTAGAAGGTCTTTATGAAAGAAAGACCGCACAGAACAAAGCCTTTGTGATTAGAAGGCTTGTGAATTTAAAGTACAAGGATGATAATAGTGTTGCAGAGCACTTGAGTAGCTTTCAAGGGTTGTTGAATGAGTTGACTACCATGAAGCTTACACTAGATGGTGAGGTGCAGGCTTTACTTCTGTTGAGTTCATTACCAGATAGTTGGGAAACTTTAGTTGTCTCTGAGTAATTCAGCTCCAAATGGTGTGATCACTGTCAACATGATGAAAGACAGTATGTTTAATGAAGAAGCCAAAAGTAAGGAGCAAGGTGCTTCCTCTAACTCTGAAGCACTTTTTACAGAAAGAAGGGGGAAAAACAAAAGTAGAAAACCTTATGGTGATGACAGTCGTGACAAGTCTAGAAGAAGATCAAAGTCAAGAAAAGGGATAAAATGTTATCATTGTGGCAATCTGGGGCATCTTAAAAAGGAGTGTAGAAAATGGAAAAGAGAACAGTTAAAATTGAAAGGTGAATAACAGAAAGAACAAAAGGAGACCACAGCAGTTGCATCTGATGCAGAGGTATTTGTTGCTTGTGATGAAGCATTTCATGCCAAGATTCTATGTGGATAGTTGATACAGGAGCTTCTGTTCATATTACTCCACGTAGGGATTTCTTTTCATCATATACCAGTGGTGATTTTGGTTGGATCAGGATGAGAAATGAAGTTAAAGTAAGAATTGTTGGTATGGGGGATGTACAATTGGAAACTAGCATTGGCAGCAAGTTATTTATCAGGGGTGTCAAACATGTTCCTGATATGCGCTGCAATTTGATTTCTGTTGGAAAGCTTGATGAAGAAGGCTATCACAATCATTTTGGAGATGTTTGTTGGAAACTTACAAAGGGTTCCCTTGTTTTAGCCAGAGGGAAGAAGACTAATGGTCTCTACAAACCAGAAACAAAACTAGTTCATGGAAATGTGAATATTGCTGAAAATGAAGCCTCTACTGAGCTATTGCATAAGCAGCTTGGCCACATGAGTGAAAAGAGAATTCAAATTCTATCCAGAAAGAAGCTCTTACATAACGTGAAAGGTACATCACTAATCCCTTATACTCATTGCTTAGTTGGTAAGCAAACTAGAGTTGCATTTCATAGATTCCTTGCATCTAGAAAGACTCACATTCTTAATTTAGTTCATACTGATGTTTGCATGATACAAAGTAAATCTCTAGGTGGTGCATTGTATTATGTTACATTTATTGATGATCACTCTAGAAAAGTGTTTGCATATTCTTTGAAGTCTAAAAATCAGATGCTGGAAGTATTTAAAGACTTTCATTTGAAAGTTGAAAGAGAAACTGGAAGGCAGTTAAAATGTGTCAGAGTAGATAATGGTAGTGAATACAGAGGGTCATTTGAAGAGTACTGCAGAAGGTATGACATCAGGCTTGAGAAAACTGTTCCAAAGACCCCACAACAAAATGGGGTGGCAGAAAGAATGAACATAACTATTTGTGAGAAAATAAGAAATATGCTCTCTCATACAAAACTGCCTAAGCACTTCTGAGCTAAGGCAATGAGGACAGCAGTTGACTTGATTAATCTTTCTCCATCAGTTCCTTTGAATGGTGATGTTCCACAGAGCTTTTGGACAGAGAAAAATTTGTCTCTTGATCACTTAAGAGTTTTTGGTTATCGGGTATCTGTTTATATTCCTAAAGATAAAAGGTCCAAATTGGATAGCAAAGCAAAACAGTGTATCTTCTTGGGTTATACAAATGAAGAATTTGGGTACAGATTGTGGGATCCAATGAACAAAAGGATTATCAGGAGTAGAGATGTTGTGTTCTTTGAAAATGAAACCATTGAAGATTTGGATCGGACTAAGAAGCCAAATACAGTCAATGAAGAACAAACCAGTTCAGTTCCACATGTACGACTACTAGATCCTGTGGTACATGATGATCACAGAGAAAATGTGCAAGAAGAACATGACACTATAGGAGACAGACATAATGAAGCCTCTACACAGGGTAATGCAGAACCAGATCAAATTCAAGAGAATGTTCCTCTTGAGGTGTCAGCTGAAGAAGGGTTGAGAAGATCTACTAGAGAGCGCCAGCCTTCCAAGAAATACTCTAGCAATGAATATGTGTTACTTTTTGATGGGGGAGAGCCAGAAAGTTATCAAGAGGTTCTGCTACATGATCAGAAAAATGAGTGGTTAAAAGCTATGCAAAAAGAGATGAAATCTTTGCATAAGAACAACACCTATGATCTAGTAGACTTGCCTAAGGGCAAGAGAGCACTTAAGAACAAATGAGTGCTTAGACTAAAAGCTAAATCACATAGCTTGCAGCCAAGATACAAGACAAGGTTGGTTGTGAAGGGGTTTGGTCAGAAGAAAGGTATTGATTTGAAGAAATCTTCTCACCTGTTGTTAAAATGTCGTCAATCCGAGCTGTGTTAGGATTGGCAGCCAGTATGAATCTGGAGATTGAACAACTTGATGTGAAGACGGCTTTCCTCTATTGTGACCTTGGAGAGGAAATATACATGGAACAGCCAGAAGGATTTACAGGTAAAGATATAGAAAATCTTGTATGTCGATTGAAGAAAAGCTTGTATGGTCTCAAGCAGACACCGAGACAATGGGACAAGAAATTTGATTTCTTCATGGTTGAGCATGGGTACACCAAAACAACTTCTAATCATTGCGTGTTTATAAAGAAATTCACTGATGGGAATTTATTATTCTCTTGCTCTATGTGGACGACATGTTGATTGCAAGTCGTGACACGGAAAAAATTAAGAAGTTGAAAAAGAAGTTGAGCAAGTCCTTTGAGATGAAGGATTTGGGACCTGCAAATGAAATCCTTGGCATGAAAATCTCTTGTGACAGAAAGAATGGAAGATTATGGTTATCACAGGAAAGTTACATCGAGAAGGTATTACACAAATTCAATATGGATAAGGCAACAACAGTTAGCTCTCCACTTGCAAGTCATTTGAAATTGAGTTTAAAACAAAGTCCTTCAAGTGAGAATGAAAATAAAGAATGTGCCTTATGCATCAGCTGTGGGTAGCTTGATGTATGCTATGGTATGCACAAGGCCAGACATTGCTCATTCTGTTAGAGTTTTTAGTAGATTCCTTTCTAATCCTGGAAAAGAACACTGGGCAACAGTGAAGTGGATTCTCAAGTATCTCAGAGGGAGTTCTAAGATGTGTTTATCTTTTGGCACCAGCAAACCCGAGCTTGTTGGGTTCACAGATGCAGATATGGCTGGTGATGTAGACTCTAGAAAGTCTACCTCTGGGTATTTGATCATTTTCTTAGGGGGAGTAGTTTCATTGCAGTCTAGACTACAGAAATGTGTTGCTCTATTCACCACAGAGGCTGAGTACATAGCTATCACTGAAGCTAGCAAGGAGTTGTTATGGATGAAGAAGTTCTTACAAGAACTGGACTTAGAGCAAGAGAAGTATATACTCTATTGCGATAGCTAAAGTGCTATCCATCTCAGTAAGAATCCAACTTTTCACTCAAGATCCAAACATATTGAAGTGAGGTATCATTGGATTCAAGATGCACTGGAAATGAAGAAGATACAGCTTGAGAAAATCCATACTGATGAGAATGGTTCAGATATGATGACAGAGCCATTGCCCATGGTGAAACTACAAGTATGTAGAAAGAAAGCGGGCTTGGTGGTGTCCCTCTCGTAGTCGGGAGGGGGAGATTTGTTGGGTTTTCCCTCTACTTTGAGGGACTTGCCCATTTAGTAGCCCACTAAAGCCCAAACCAATTAAACCCATTTGATGGCCCCAAAAACAATACAAAAACTGATCCATACATACATACAGTAGAAAAAATTCATTTTTTTTCTAAAAATAGGCAGCCTCAGTTTTCTTGAAAAACAGAGAGTTACGAGAGAGAGAGACTTCGGCATTTTAGCTTCTTCTTGCCAAAGGATGGAAGCTCGTTTGTGGTCCGATTTAGCTGAAATTTCAGTATGTTATTTTTGGCAAAGATAGCTACATTTTGACTAGAGCTGATCGTCCAGATTCCTCTCCATTTCTTGGGCTCTACACACTAGTTTAGTGAGATTTTCTCCTTATTGTGTGTGTATCTATTTTAGTATGATGTGTTGTTGATATCCAATAATATATGTGTTCTTGATGTATTGGTAGCCTCTAGAGTTTGCTTTGGAGAAGGTTAACTGTGTATCCCATTATTTTATAGTGGAAGGCTTTTACTGGACTAGGTCCCGGGATTTTCCTTCACGCTGAAAGGTTTCCCTAGTGAACAAATCTTTGTGTTCTTATCGTTCAATTTCTGCCAGTGTGTGTGAGTTAATATTTGGAGCCGAGGTTATTATTTTACTGCCATTTTTATTCTGCATAATGGGGATTGTGAAATTGTTTTCGCTACTTGGTTTATCATTATTGGTTCAATCCCTAACAGATGATAATCTAGAATAGGTTAGATTCAAGCAAAAGAAGCCCAATATAAGAACTAAAAATTATGTAGAACCCATCTTATTGTCTTGTGTTCTCCGTCACACAAAATTTTGTAGTACAATTTATAAAATTTTAGTTAATAAAAATAATTTCAACCACACATTCATAATTATTATTCTTTGTTATTTATATATTTTATGAGGCCCACTATTATCTTTTTCATAAACCTCTTATGAATTTACCTTCGTAAAACATAGCATAATCAGCTGTAGGGCCATATCTGTCTAGTCCAAGTCTATATCTTGTTGGGCTAGGATTAAATCAAGGGTAATTTACACAATTAGCTATATAGGAGAAAAAAAAATTGTAGCACCCTTTTATAAACTTGTGTAATAATTTTTAATGTTTGTAGCTCTTGTTTTTCAGAGGGAATAATTTACTCCCAGCTCACTTTTTATGCTTGTGTCTGAAAGAATAATCCTTTTCTTATAATTGGTAATTATGTACTTAGGCCCATTTAGCAAAGCTTTTAGAAAGCCTAAAGATGCTTCTAAAATTAAGAATTGGTTTTTGAATATATTTAGATAATTTTTTGAAAAATAATTTACTTGACCAAAAGAATTTTTAGAAGAAACAAATTTATGGAAGTTTTCTCATAAAAGCTCTTCTACAAAAAGTAGAAACAAAACAGGAATTCATGTCAAATGAGCCCTTACACAACGTTATCAAGCCTTGATAAAGTTGATCCAATATATGCATATAGAAAAATAAAAATGTAATTAGCAAATTACATTGAAACCTTAATTTTTGTGAGTATCTGGAGTCTTAACAGGTGGTCGAGAGTCACTCATTACTTCTAAAATACATTTGTATCTCTCTTCTTTTCAACTACATATTTATCGGTAAAATAATATTATACACAAATTCAAAACTTTTCTTTATTTTTTAACTGCACATCTCTATCTATCTACTATTCCAAAATGCATAATTAGCCAAATAATGAGGCTCAAACAAGGGCTTATATTAAATTCATCTTTTGAAACTTTTTTCCCCTCTATTTCATTATTTTGAGATGATTGGTTTTGTCTTGTTATTGTAAATATCTTTGGTTGATGACATGTTTCTTTTCAAGAATATTTTTCTATACAGTCATGCTAGGCTTATAGATATAGGGAGTTGTTAGGCCACACACATAAGTGGGGCCGACGTATTTTTTTAATGCACGTGGGGCCCCTATACAATGAGAGGCCCTGTAAAAGCCCTGCGGGCATTATTTTTTTCAATATTAAGTGATAATTTGCACTCTACCTTGAGATCTCCAAAATGGACCTTTACCACATATATGCCCACACTCATTTTTCCAAATTTCAATAAACTTACACATAAATAAGGACAATTTCTAATTAATCCGAACTCTTCCCTTATTCGTCACATTTCATCACATGAATTGTTAAACATTCTGACTAAAAATAACCGATATTTGAACATAGAAGAGCAAGGTAAAAACACAAGGAGCGGTTGAACCTTTACACATGGGAGCACACAAGGTACATAAACTGATAAGCACACAATTGGACTTATTAAATATAGAGTACATAACATCCAAAATTTATTCATTCAAAATAATAATCTAATATTCATATAGAAGCTTTAGCATTTGTAGTAGTAGTAGTAGATGGAACCCACAGAAAATTATCTGCAGGAAAGAAGTGGCACACTGGGGAAGACCCTGGTTTGATTCCAAGAACTCGAAAGGCCACATGATTCTCGCTCCACTGAGAAGTATCCAAATGACAAACAGCAATAGCTTCACTTTTATCCCGATATTCACCAGCCAAAGAAACTCTAAAAACCCTGCTTATACTCTCTTGATAATGGCAGTAGAATATTGTATATGGGTATGGCATTGTATGGCATGCAACTGATTTAGGGGCTGAAATTTCTTGGATTTTCATTATGGTAAATTTCTGTAAAAGGGTTTTGGAATTTGTGAGGTGGGTTGTTGATAAAACTTTGATTTGAGATTCCATTCCTATGATTTTTTGTATAAAATCAAGCATTGATTCTAAGGATGTGGCACAGAATTTGGTTTCTCCTTTGATGGGTTCTGTTTCACATTCTCTTAGTGTGTTTTCCATGGCTTGGGCTTGTGGTGAATCTTGTGAAAAAGAGAACAATTCCAGAAGATTTGGGAGTTTTTGTAATTGAAAAGGAATTGAATCAGCTTCTTGTTTGGAGAGTAAACGAGGAGAGGAATTAGGTTTTCTTCTAGGGAAATGGATTGGCATTGAATTTCCTTGCTTTAAATCATCCAACTGGAAGAAAACAAGTACTGAAGGATCCATATGATCCATGTGTGATGATGAATGAGTATGCATATGGTGGACATGCATCTCTTCATGAGCATCATTTTCTTGCTTATCCATGCTATGAAGCCTTAAAACATCCATCTTCTGCAAGTCAAAAACGTCGTTTTTAGATTTAGTGGTCCAATCAGACAAAACTAAATCATATCTTGTGAAAATTTGAATTCTGCACTTTATGTACCTGATTATTGAAACGATCATTGTCTAAATGCATTTTTTGAGTTTCTCCAGCCATTTCCTGGGCAGAGCTTCCATACGCATCCTGCAGTAAATAGTAGTTCCTTTAAGTGAATTCAATGTTCATTTAGTTGGAACAAAAACAAGAAATAATTCAGATATTACCAGCAGAATTAGAAGAAGATAGACACTACAAAACGCAAGCTTATTGTACATTATTCTCCTTCGTCTTGATTTCTTCTAAATTTTTCTAAGTAGAGAAATGAAATCAACCCCACTCAATGTGGATATCCAGGGAAGAATTATAAATTATGTTCAATAATTGGACATGTAATAATTCAAGTGTTTTTACAATTTTTAAAACAACCTGAAGTGCGCTACTGAAATAATTCACCTTATCAAGTTTCTATCTATTTCATTAGTGAATCCAAAGAGAATCCAATGATATCAGCAATGAGGTAACCAAGAAAATATTAAATTACTTCTTTTGTCCTAAACTTGACACGACTCACCAACCACCATTTTCCTATTATTGGAGTTAGCCAAGCAATTGGAGTTCAGATATATTATCCCTATTTTGCAAGAGTTTGTCTACTTGTGAGGTGTACAAACCGCCCTCACAAGTGGGGGGCTCACGACGACTCCGGTGTACAAATAAAAAAATCCATTTTACAATCTCCCCAATAGAATTTTAACAACTCACTATATTGGATAGTGTTAGCAAATATACGTCATAATATTAACTTTGAAATGTTATCTTGACAAGAAATGAATTCTTTTGCTTCTGCTAAACTGTTTTTTAGGCATTCATTTTAGTCTTCTGTAACGTGTTAATTTATCTCTTATTACAGCAATTTCTCTCTTCACCTCCACATCTGTCGTGATGCATGTAAGAATGAAATAGAGGGGAAAAAAAGCAGCAGATAGCATGCACAAGTTTTTACTCTAACCTTCTTATTTTCTCTTTCTTTTAGCCATTGGAATGAAAGTTTTCCAACAATTTTACAAATAAAAAACAACAGTAGATTTGAAAATCTCAAAGAGTATTTTCTTGCTCAAGTTAGAAAGACAAGTATTTATCAGATTTCACGTGAATCATAATTGGTAGCACAACTTTACTAATCTTATCATTAGATACAACTTAGTATCGCTAATCAGAACAACCATTATTGATATCCTGCAATATTAAAAAATCTATTTTTGCAAGATCATTAGTTAAACTAATAAAATATTAATTCCACGTGAAACTACATAACCCTGTATTATCTATTGATTATAGAATAATGATGTGCTGTATGTTAAACTGATGAAACATTAATTTCACGTGAAAGTGAAACTACAATTATATATCAATAAAGCTATAGGTACAGAAGCTTCCTCACAGAAGCTCTACAGAAATTTAAAAACAGCTGACGTGTCGCTAGGAAAAAGGAAAGAAAATGTTGGCAGAAAAAGGAATGGACGGCTGTTGTAGAGAATTGTTTATAAATTCAATAAATTACTTATGTTTTTATCTTAATTTTCGGGTTCATTACGAAATATCAAACGAAGTCGAAATATTACATTCTTAAAATCATTTTAAAGTACTCACGGCCTAATATTTTACGTCATTAACGGGGCACGAAATGACCAATCTTAGCAAATGTTACGGAGCGTCAAAGTAGGTTGTTCCAAACTAATATTTCGAGAATTTCGATAATAAGCTAACTTTAAAAAAATTTCGACGATTGTAAGCTAATCGAATCAATAAATCTTCTATATTCTGTTGAAACTCATTTCGAGAACTATATCACAGACATATCGAATGATATAAACGAATATCAAAAATAGTTAAATGTATGTCAAACGTGTGTGTCAAAAAATACGCATAACTCTTTTTTTTTTTTTTTTTAAGAAATCAATTATTTTATTAATTTTTATTATTTTTAATTGACAAATTTCGCAATATTATTTACATCATTTTATTAAGAAATTTTATATGTGGTATGACATCAAAATTTATTTTTTTTGTCGTAAAAATTTATAGTAAAATTTTTATAATCAGTAATGGTCAAATTTCTAATAATACATCATTTTGTTTTTTTTTTACTTAAAAAATTTCTAATAATTCTTTTTGTTTTTATGGATGTCGAATTAATTTTTTTCATCTTGATTACATACATTTATATGTGGTATGACGTCAATTTTTTTTTATGTAAAAATTCCTAATAATTTTTTTTATAATCAAGATGAAAAAAAATTAGTTTGACGTCCATAAAAACAAAAAACAAAAAAATTTTATTAGAATTTTTTTACGTCCAAAAAAATCATTTATTAGAAATTTGACGTCCAAAAAAAAAAAAGAAAAAAAAACCATTAATGATTATAAAAATTTTATTATAAATTTTTACGACAAAAAAAATAAATTTTGATGTCATACCACATATAAAATTTCTTAATAAAATGATATAAATTATATTGTGAAATTTGTCGATTAAAAATAACAAACATTAATAAAATAATGGATTTCTTAAAAAAAAAAAAAGACGAGTTATGCATATTTTTTGACACACACGTTTGACATACGTTTAACTATTTTTGATATTCGTTTATATCATTCGATATGTCTGTATATAATTCTCGAAATGAGTTTCAACAGAATATAGAAGATTTATTGATTCGACTAGCTTACAATCGTCGAAAATTTTTTAAATTTAGCTTATTATCGAAATTCACGAAATATTAGTTTGAAACGACCTACTTTGACGCCCCGCAACATTTGCTAATATTGGCCGTTTCGTGCCCTGTTAATGACGTAAAATACTAAGCCGTGAGTGCTTTAAAATGATATTAAGAATGTAATATTTCGACTTCGTTTGATATTTCGTAATGAGCTCGAAAATTAAGATAAAAATATAAGTAATTTATTGAATTTATAAACAATTCCCTACAACAGCCGTCCATTCCTTTTTCTGCCAACATTTCCTTTCCTTTTTCCTGGCGACACGTCACCTGTTTTTAAATTTCTGTAGAGCTTCTATGAGGAAGCTTCTATACCTATAGCTTTATTGATTATAGAATAATGATATGCAGTCACATTGAGGTTCCAACCCAGTTTAGGTGGCGATAGATGACAGTCTGAGTGAAATGTGAAATTAAATTATTTTTATTTAATTTTATCTATCATTTAATGCCACATTAACGCTATCTAAATTGTGGTTGTAACTCGATAAGGCTAAATTACATTAGAGCATTTCCAAAAAACTCTTTAAACATGACTTAGTCTCTATTTTAAAGAGATAACACTAAAAACTATGTTTCATGAGAATCTTTAAATTAACATTTTAATTTAGAAATTGGATTTGACTTTCAAAATTTGAAGAGTTGGAGGACTAAATCCATTCTCTATAATTAAATACATTCAAATTATTTCAATTTTTAATGCAAAAAAATAGTATAATAATATAGAGAAAAGTTACTTAAAATAAAAGGTAGATAAAAATAATAAATATTTTTGAGATTAGTAAAATAACATATTTTCTTGCTCAAGTTAGAAAGACAAGTATTTCTCAGATTTCACGTGAATCATAATTGGTAGCACAACTTTATTAATCTTGTCATTCGATACAACATTGTTAAAGGGTGATGATAGGTGTACAGTGTAAGAATACCAACACCTCGCATGGGTGGGTGGGGGAAGAGGGTGAATTAATTTTTTAACTTTATTTATTCATGTAGTACCCATACCTTTGTGAGAAATTGTACACATTCGGTAAAGAAAAATTCTGTACACCAATCATTTTTGGTTGTTAAATATCGCTAATCAGAACAACCATTATTGATATCCTACAATATTAAAAAATTTATTTTTGCAACATCATTAGTTAAACTGATAAGACATTAATTCCACATGAAACCACATAACCCTGTATTATCTAAGGATTATAGAATAATGCTATGTTGTATGTTAAACTAATGAAACATCAATTCCACGTGAAACCACATAACCCTGTATTATCTATTGATTATAGAATAATGCTATGCTTGATGAAACATTAATTCCACGTGAAACTACGTAACCCTACCATCTATTGATTATAGAATAATGCTATGCAGTCACAGTGGGGTTACAAACCTAGTTTAGGCAGCGATAGATGATAGTCTGAATGAACTTATTATTTAATATCACATTAACGCTATCTAAATCAGGGTTAGAAACTCGGTAAAGTTAAATAACATTAGAGCATCTCCAAAAAATTCTTTAAACATAATATACTCATTATTTTAAAAGGACAACACTTAAAATTATGCTTCATGAGAATCTTTAAATTAACATTTTAATTTAAAGAGGCTCTCAAAATTTGAAGAGTTGGAGAACCAAATCCACTCTACTATAATTAAATGCGTTCAAACTATTTCAATTTTCAATATATGAAAATAACATAACAATCTAGAGAAATGTTATTTAAAATAAAAGGTAGAGAAAAATAATAAATATTTTTTAAAAGTAGTAAAATTAAGTATTAAATATAAAAAGTCTATTGGAGTACTTTAAAACTTCCACTATCTAAATTTACAGATGTTCTCTAAATTATAGAATGAATTTTTATAAAAATAGAGAGTTACTTGAAGATAATCTTACTCTTATTAAATCTTGATTATATGCCCCGCCCCGACGGGTTGGTGTAACTCTCTGCCCGTGGCGAGGCGCGAGGCGGGGCAGGGTTGCCCAACCCCGGGAAAAGGAAAATTAATAAAATAATAGTAAAAAAAAAAAAAAAAACATGGCAAGTTGTGCCCTGCCTAAGGCGGGGTGGGGCACTCGCCCCGTTGCCATCACTACCTCTGCTAGGGCTCCATTTTTTCAAAACACATTTTTTTAAAATTCTTTTTCAACCACACATTCTGTCATAAAATAATATTGCACGTAAATTAAATTTTTTTCTTATTTTTTAATTATACATTCTCAAAAAAAAAAATGTCACTATTCAAAAATATAATTTTTTTTCCAAATTCTCATTAAAATGGAGCCAAACAGGGAGTTTGATTTTAATTATTGTTGTTGCAGCAAATAGCATATCTTTTTCTTTCTATAAATAGCCACTGCTGTTTTCATTCTGCATACCAAATCCCATTCATAAGAAGACTTGTATTGTGTAGGACTAACCTTTTATATTAGGAAAAGAGGGAAAGATGAAATCAACTGTCGCTCTAGTCGGGCTTTTTTGTCTTGCAGTAGTAAGTACAAACATTCTTCGGTCGAGTCTGAATTTTTTTCAATGCATACAGCAATGAACTCAATGAACTAAATACAGTAGTATAAAACGTTTTACATGTCAATTCCCATTTTTTGTACTTTATTCTTTTCATCATTGTTTTCTTCATTCCTAGTACATTTTCTTGATTTTCCTCTTTGTTTTTTGCAGCTGGCAATGACTATCGATGCACGAAAAGAACCAGGAGAGTACTGGAAAGGGGTTATGAAAGATCAGCCTATGCCTGAAGCAATTCAAGGTCTTCTCGATACAAATTCTGTTGAATATGTTCCTAATAAAAAGAGCGATTGCCACACCTCAACTGAGGCAAGTAGACAAGACAAGCCCTTCGTTCAAGACTTTGAACCTAGACCTAGTGCCACAGCCTATCGTGATGATAAGCTAAAAACGAATGGATATATTGTTCAAGATTTTGAACCAAGACCTAGTGCCACGGCCTATCATGATGATAAGCTCAAAAATGAGAGATCTTTCACGAAAGAATTTGAACCAAGACCAAGTGTCACAGCCTATCTTGATGATAAACTAAAAAATAAAAGATCTTTTGCAACAAAATTTGAGCCAAGACCTAGTGCCACGGCCTATCGCGATGATAAGCTAAAAAATGGGAAATCTTTTACAAAAGACTTTGAGCCAAGGCCTAATGTCTCTGCCTACACCGGTGATGATGAACAGAAACAAGGAAAATCTTTCGTAAAAGACTTTGAGCCAAGGCCTAATGTCTCTGCCTACACCGGTGATGATGAACAAAAACAAGGAAAATCTTTCGTAAAAGACTTTGAGCCAAGGCCTAATGTCTCGTCCTACAATAATGATGCTAAACCAAACGAGGAGAAATCTTTTGTGAAAGACTTCGAGCCAAGGCCTAATGTCTCAGCTTATACCGACGATGTTGGATTGAAGGGAGAGAAGAAGACGTTTGAGAAAGATTTCGAGCCCCGGCCAAATGTTTCTGTTTATCAGCAATGAACAGAGAAATGCATTATCTGCATTTGAATATGGTTCAAGTTTGTGTTCTACATATGTATGCAAGTGCTTTAATATTGAATAAAAGTTTGTACTGTTTGGATTTGTATTATATATATAATTAAGTGTCCAATTATTCATGAGTCTTTATCTCTTCATCATTTAGGCGTCTTGCAAGTTGTTATCGAATACTATTGAGCATTGAGTACTCCGATTCTTGATGAACATGAATAAATTACAATTGAAAGCAAACGACGTGTTATTTTTTTGCTTCCTCGAAGCAGATTTTAAACAAATAAAAGGCAACCTCCTTAAGATTTTTTTTAACTACTTTTTCTCCATTTTCAGTAAAAACAAATTTGTATTTTCCATTTTGCGCTTCTATATATAGATAACTTATGAAATTAATTAATAATTATTAAAAATGTGTAGATTATTTTTTTACTGAATTATATTATTTGCAATATATGAAGTAAAGTTTATCATTAAGTGCCTCTTTGACACACTTTAATATATATTACGATTTGCTACATGATCATTTTCAACCATACATTCATACAATAAAATATTTTACACATATCTTAAAAAAAGAATTCTTATTTTTTAATCATACAGTCTTCTAAAAGTCACTATTCAAGACTATTTTTTACTACAATAATAGTTGTCAAACAGGCTCTAAATAAAGTTAATATTTTTATTAATTAAAGAATTATTTTTGAAATAATCGATGAATATAATTGGTAGAATTAAAGTAATTATACAGAGATGGGTTCTGAATTGCACTAAAATGTGTGCAACGTTAATTCGAAAATGCGTACGTGGCAAGAAAAAATATGAGAGATGTGCAGCGGTAGCTCCCCCAAGAAGATATGCTGGACATGTTCTACTACTTAATTTGTTTAAATAATTTATCCTGATTGAAGGATGTGCTAAACATCATCCATTCAATTATTTATAATTTACCTTCACTCTTTCTGTTTGTCTATTTTGTACATATGGACCACAATTAGTGCCATACGCGGTTCCATTAGAGATGTTCTTCTCTCAATCTCCCGTTGTGTTTGTCACATATATAATAATACATGGTATTGCATTGAAGATGCTCTTTGTGTTGATTTTCCGATGGGAGAGAGGGATTGAAAGAGTAGAAGAAATAAATTTGCGTTGCTTCCATGAAACTTTTGTTTTAGTGTTCATTTCCGTCTCTTGTTAACGGGTTAATTTATTTCTTAATACAACAATATCTTACTTTACTTTATTGTGGGTTATGGTGTACGTGAGAATGGAATAGAAGGAAATAACAAATATATAAGTATTTGTTCGCGTGATATCCGTAAGTGTACGAGATCGTTGACAAGCAATAGATTTAGTGAGTTAGAGTATCATCCCACGAAAAATAAAATTTAATTGAGTGTACTAGTCCTTAATTAGATTCAAAGCGAACAAACTAAAAGTGATTTTTATGATTTTTATTTATTCTAATTTAATCGAAAACGTGTAAAATGCGAATTTAAAATATATATGGGAAGAGTGTATTGGATTACGAATCCACCTACTATTATCTCTTCCAATTCTTGACAACTTAGCTAATTTCGTTCTTGCATTCTTGATTATCGATAATTCTATTGTAATTAATTTTCTTTTCCAAGATAAATTAAATTTATTCTATCAACGACTCGAATCTAATCCTACTCCAATTCATATGAATAAAACGCATTCAATTTCACAATTATCTTAAAGATTGCACAGTGATAAATATTATTCCTAAAATTTATTGCACGCATGTTAATCAAACAGTGTTCTAAATCTATTGTGAACCTCTCAATACTATAATAAACAACTATATGTTTAATTTGTGATCAAGCAATCAAATTATTAAATTAAGCATGCAAGATTAATCAAAATTTGCAAAAATTCAACTAAGCCACGTGTCTCGAATTAAAAATAAATGACAACCGCTTTCATCTTCGTCCAATAAATGAGAAAAATTAACCTAGCATATTATTGGAATTAAACACAAAAAATTGGAAAGACATCACCGAAATTTTAGCGAACGTGATTAATTCCACACTTTTTGTTGATTCATGCACGCGTGTATGTGTTATTTTCTTAAAAAACAGCCATGCAATTGTTTTGTATTCAGCTGCCAATCAATTTTCTCCTCAATTTCCGGCCGTGTATCTGTTGACACATAAAAATTCAGCCCAAATCGAACGGCCCAAGGAGTAAAGCCCAATTGGAGGATCCCCAAATCAGATAGCCCAAAAAACGAAGTCCAATCGAACAAATCAAGGTGAAGGCCCAAATAAGGGGGCCCAAGAGTACTGTAACGCCATCGCCCAAGTTTGCAAGTCGCCCAGAATCTGAACGAATAGAGTGTCATACGGTCGCCCAGAACTGTTATTCTATTCTCGCCCAAACCTTCAAGTCGCCCAAGGTATCGACAGACATAACGCATCGTGGTTATCAAGAAATGCAGTTATCAAGGCAGTTGTTAAAGCAGCCCTATCACATTCCACGACTCAAGGAATTCAATCGAAAGCGGTTGAACGAAGAAAGGTAATGGCAGCAGTTAAAAGGCAGTTTTCATGATAAAATGACCACTACGAAGAAAATGGGTAGTTATAGGACGATCAAGCAGTTTTTAGAGTAGTTAATCACAAAGAGATCATCTATGAAGTATAAAAGGAAGAAAGAACATAGAAGCAAAGGACCGAATCCAAAACTCTCGAACAGAGAACATGTAATTTTCATTTCCTTAGTTTTTTAGACTTAAACAATTTTCTTTCAGTAACTCGTGTGCTTGCGCCCCTTGGAGGCACGTTGTTTTCCATTTCCAATTGTAAAGTTCATTGCCAATAAAAGAACACCCCTTTTGGGGACTTTGTCTCAAGAGGTTTCGTCCCTTACACAATCGTTTGATCCTTTTTAATTGTTAGCGACTTAACCCGCGCGAAACAATTTGGCACGCCCGGTGGGACCGTGGTGTTAGGTGTTGAAAGTACAAAAGGAGAAACAATATGCCTCAAAGATCCGACAAGGAATGAGCAAGTCAGGGAGGAATCCAGTCTGTAATCGAGCGATATGAGGAGCAGCATGCCTCTCCACGAACAGATGGACAAAATCAGAGCAGTAACAGTCGTTACGAACCAATGACGGAGTTGAGTCCTCGAACCATGCGTGCATTACTTGGAGAACTCACGCAAGACGTCATTGAACAGGTAAATCTTCGAAGTATTCATAATATGGAAAGATTTACACAAAATGGAAATGCACACTATGACAATATGGCCAAACAACTAAAAACGTTAAACGAAACAATGAATAAGTTAGTAGGCCAAATATGTCAACCGGCTATACCTCTTACAAACCACTTTCAAACCAGAACAATTGTGGGACATAATCCCTCTGTCCTAAATCCGAATCAAGGGGTAGAACCGCTTTCTGGTCCCTCTACTTCAAACCAAAGGGTTACTACAGTGCCAAATCAAAATAATGGTAATGGCATGCCTAACTTGGGGGGTAATCCAAACGTGAGAGATAATGTCCTAAACAATGGACAGAATATTCCACGTGGTAATGAGGGAACAGATGTCCAGGCTAATGGTAATGGCCCTAACTATGGTAATTTTGTTGCCAATCAAGGATCAAACATCAGGCCTCATGTAAATCAACCGGTTAATCAGCATGTACGAATTCCATATGATCCCAATGTCATGTTGAGGAACCAGATTATGGAAATCGTGCAGGATCAGATAGCTTTTGGGGTGCGTCTACAAAGCCATATCCTGATTGAGTAGACCAAGCATATCCATGGCCTAGAGGGTATAAAGTGCTAGAATTCTCACTGTTTACCGGCTTAGGAGAGGTGTCTACTCTAGAACACATAGGGGTATTCACGTTGCAAAGTGGTGATGTATCAGATTACCATAAAATGAGACTTTTTCCTAGTTCGTTAACAGGAGTAGCTTTCTCCTGGTTCATCAACTTGCCAGCGAATTCTGTTCAAATATGGCAACAACTGGAACAGTTGTTTCATGCTCAGTTTTATAAAACTGAGTCTGAAGTCACTTTGGCTGATTTGGCGAATCTACGTCAAATGCCAAATGAATGGGCAGAAAGTTTTCTCCAAAGGTTCAAAACAGCAAGAAGCAAGTGTTTTGTACCTCTGTCCGAAAAAGAATTTGTCAAGATCGCACAAGGCTGCTTGAGCTTTGATTTAAAAAAGAAGTTCCAGGACAAGGAATTTCCTGACCTTTTTCAGTTGAGTGCGAATGTGATTAGGTATGAGCGACTGATAAATGAAGAAGAACAAATGAAAAATTCCAGTAAAGGGACTTATTACAGAGACCCAAGTTTTGACGTTCATACCATCGACGACGAATCATACGATCAGGCCGAAATGTGTTTGGCCGAATTGGTAAAAGGGGATACATATACCTGTCCCATAATGGCCAAGCCTAGACCATCGGGCAAAGATGAGCCCATAAAGGATGGAAACATAAAGGCTAGAACGTTCTCGTTCGATGTGACCAAAGCTGACCTTATATTCGATAAATTATATAGGGATAAGCAAATAAAGCTGAGCGATAAGCACAAATTGCCAAACCCTGAACAAATAAAGGGTAAAAAATATTGTAAGTGGCATAATGTATGGTCACATTTGACTAACAATTGCTTGGTTTTCCGTCACGTATTGCAGGATGCCATTGAATCGGGATGAATTACGTTCGATGATAAGAAAAAGATGGTAGTGGACGAGAATCCTTTCCCACAGCCACTTGGGGTAAACATGGTAGCGTCTGGATTCAAGAACAAGTTGCCAAAATTCAAGTTGGTCATAGATGATGGAGAAGAGGATACTAAAACACATCCCAGTGTCTTCGAACGAATTAAAGGGAAAGAACCAAAAAAGGACGAAAACGTCCTGTGTGCAAGGTGTAAAAGGGAAGTAAATGGAGACACGGAGAAACTAGGGACATGGCAGCATCCTCATCGCCCTGCCTTTTTCCCAAACATTCAGCCTGGTAGAGGGCGAGGTACATCATTCTATAGAGGACCGCCTTTTGAAAGGCAGTTCAGACCAGCAGATACTGGAAGAACATTTAGGCCACAACCTTGCCGGCCAAATGTATGGCATTCATTCCAGTACAGTGCA